CGACTTCGACTCTAGTAATGTTATTGATACACATATCTTTTTTGTTTTACACTTTCAGATAGAATTACTATAGGTAATATTAAGTTTTTAGAAAATCAATTATCCGAGATAGTTTTGGATAAAGGACTTGCGATACAGGTTCGCCTAATGAGGGGTCAAAAATATACAACTGTATTGTACTATAAAGTATTTTTGTTAATTAATAACTTTAGAAATAAATATCCTAGTAAATTAATAATCTTGTATATAAAATTCTCGTGTCACAATGCAAGTTACCATACTCCTCCGAAACAGCTTGACCGATTTTTATGAAATTTTATACCTATACATACTCAGTAGGTTTGAGAATCGGTTACTATCTATTTTTCAGGGTTGTCCACCCCTGACATTTGGTTTTTATTATTTCGACAATTTATATTTTTATTTTTTTATAATATGGCATTCAAAATATATACAACCCTAAATTTTCACTCTTCTACCACCAAGGTAACCACTATATTTTAATATTGATTTTAATTTCTATAGCAAAGCAACGTTTTGGCTAGTAATAATATATAATTGTTTACTATATTAGATACGCGAGTCAGTGTTCAACTAAGAAGTATGTAAAAATTGTAATTGGTATTTATTTTTCTTGCGCCATAAAAGGGCATCGTTTATTTTAATTCTCAACAAGTTACGCTAGTCGCCCAGACTGGCGCCACATGCTTTTGTTCTCCAAGTACATGTTTATATCGAAACATACGTACGTACAGAGACGTAAAGATATAATAATGCAGGTTAAATGTAGTAAAGAAAATTATTTCGTAATTATTATATGGTAAACACCAATTTAGCTGAAATTGGTTAATTTGCTATGGTATGTTTAAAAAAATCTGAGATGTTTAAATAACATTCCATACATGAACATAGAAGGTATAAAAGGAGAATAGAATTTACAAACTTAATTTAACAACACGAGAGACTTGGCATATAATACAAAATGCATGCAATTGCATAGCAATATAAATGCATCGTATGCAATGTGTCCACAGATAATACAGACCTCTTTATCACCTCTATTTGTTGCCAATTTATAATATCGTTAGTTATGGCAGTGAAGTAGTTCTTAGTAGGGTACGCAAGAGCGGGCTATCATAATAATAAAATATAAAGTAAAGGTCTAAAAGATCTCTCAGGATCAATAAATAATATTAAAAAGTTGATATTATTTTATTTAAATACCTATATTTTAATTACATCCTTATCTGTCTGTAGTATGCACATAGAAAAAACACGGTACTTTTAAAATCTAAAAACCAAATATTTCGCAGAAAACTGGACCTCACATTTATATTTATTAAAAAATGTTGTGCTAAGTAAGTTATACTTAGCACAACATTTTTTGTGGTCGTGATATAAAAAATGCTGCTGGTAGTAAAGCGGATCCTTAACAACCTTAATAAAGTATAGGCGTGAGATATAAAGGTGTTATCTTCATTTTTATTCCCATTCGAATTGAATTATGGCCTTTCTCGACAGGACAATTTACCGCGTTATTGGAAATCATAATTCTTTAACGTTTTATTTTATATTATAAGTGGATAGATATATCTATGAAGGTTGGTATTCTTATACCTATATATATTTTTACTAATTTAAATTTTATAATTGTGAAAGTGTGTTATTTGGTAACTCCGTAACTCTTTGAACTAACATTAAATTTAATCAAATCTTCAGACAAGGACTTGATATAATGACTTTAATGGAACGGATATCTTTCTCCAAGGAACGTAACGATATAAAAAACAATTCTGTATTTTTTAAACACAGATTAGACAACTGATAGACACAGACTAGAAAACTTACTTAAGTGTAAAATAAACTTATAACACAGACAAATTGATCCATCACAAATCCAATTGTTTGTATTGTGCGGGCATTGAACCCTAGACTATTGCAAGGTGAGGCAGTGTATAAAACCGCTGCATTTACCAAGGTCGTCAAAATATAATGAACCTAAATATATCAGTTTATGTATTACATATAGTCCAGTTCAATAAAGATATTTTGATTGCTATAAATTTGACAATATTGCCATTGTTAGTTATAAATTCTTACCTAGCACTAACAATATAATTCATAATAACTTTATAAATTGGAAAGTGGAGCTGTCCGTCTGTCTGGCTGCTTTTGGCTAAATGGCTGAACAGATCTTAATGAAACTTAATATGAAAATAGTATATAAATATCTAAAAAAGGTAGAGAAATTTGCGGGTAACTACCACTACAATATATAAAATGGTAATAACATTATTGTCCTTAGGGCACGTATTTATAGTAACTCAATTGTTTTTGTTATAAGAAGTTCCAATTGCTGCTTATCAGAAATAAAACAGTGTGACAAAGGACAAAGGTTTGTACCTAATTGATTTATAATATAGGTGCAATGAGTTACTACCGCAGAGTATTTAACTAGTTTGTTGTGAGTATTAGGTATCGGTAGATTTATTTAATTTTAATGTTGTACCTAATGGATTTTTTAAAATCACTTCTTATTCCAATTAATTAACACTTTAAATACTATATATATATCAGTGATGGATATTTCGATTTGAAATTGAAATATTAATTTTGTAATGTCTATCACTTGTCTAATACTCGTTCATTACAATACAATTATAAAAATTGCTTCATACATAATAAAGTATTAAAGCAATTTTATGAATTAATTTATAATATTATCAAGAGTAATATGTATTAATAAAGACTAAGCATAATATTGATTAAATTTATAAATGTGGAAGTATGGCTGTGGTTACCATTTCACGACAAAATGAATCTTAAAGAAATAGGTAGTAAAAAAATATAATCATCCGACTGAGAACATACTGATTGAAATTGGTTGGACCAATTATGTGACATACTTAACATTTATCAATTGTTACGTGAGAGAATTACAAACACGTATTTTGCAGTATTATGATAACTAGAAAGAACTGCGTATGAGGAATAATTGCAATGGAAACTAATGTTGTACTTTATTAATAAGTGTTAATGCCCAGGTACTATTTAACTTATACCTTATATGTTTAGATATATGAATGGAGAAATCACTTAGAAAATTGAAAAAGCCTGGACTAAGTGTATCGAGATTAAAAGAGAGAAAAATTATCTTTCTTTTTTTAAAATTCACTAGCTTATTATTTATAACTGCCCTCGTATGTCTTGCGAATTGCGTAGCCATGTGTTATATTTAAAGTCATTAGTTTATGAAAAATATATGTGAAATAATAAAAGTGAAAACATATTTTGAATAACATGAACATTACCTACTTTCGACTACTGCTCGATTAGTATACCTGTAGTACTATTGTAACTAACCAACTTTCATAATATTAGATCTTATACCCAAGTGTGATCATATCTGATACTATAACTTTCATTAAACATAAATTTCAATTGTGCTCAGATTCAGACCGGTATTTTTTTTATCTTTTACTTGATTAAACAATAGCCTTATAGGTTTATAAGATTTATCTCAATACCGAGATAACTGTTAAAAGTGAACGGTCCGACATTCGGCTGTGAACTGACCACCGTTAAATGACACAAGGCTAAATTATGCTTACAATGCTGCTTACTCTGGATTTATCATTAAATTTATAACATTAGCCTATTTCTGTAACAAAGAGAGTGGCGAAATCAACAAAATCTAAGTGTATTAGATAAAAAGATAACAAAATAGTTGAATTGCTATACTATTTACCCCTTGTCTGGATAATCTCCCCAAAAATATTTGTACATAATAGTACTTAGATAATTAATTATATTCTCTGAAACCGTTAAGGAAAGAACTGGAGACTCAAACATGTTATTATTTGAGTCTCCAATACAAATATAAAGCTACATGGTTTTAGGTATATGAGATAAAAAATATTGTTTTATTGAAATTGGAATGGAAAACAAACTGACGGTGCACCGGATGGTGTGGTTACTGTCGCATATACACATCAACGTTATCATGTAATGCCCGTGATACAGCTCATGCCTTACCATTCCTGGTGGTTAAATGTGAATATAAAATCTTCATGATTTTATATAAATATTTTAGTGGTAATTTATTAAAATTTCGAATCATATGTTTCGAAATTTGAAATTTAAAAATTAATCAATTATATAATATAAGTATGATACCATAATATGCATGTATAAAATTACTTATTACAAATATTAGTGAACAAGAAAGTGGTATTAGTTTTTTGGGTTCGTCATTCACCGGGGAACTAAGATGTCATGTCTGAACGGTGAGATCAGTCGTAACATAACTTACATAACCTAAGTCCTTTCTCATGTTTCAATTTCAATTTAAATCGGTTGTTTTTTTAATATATAAAACAAGCTGCTTGGCTTGCTGAAATACCTAAGTCTGAGTGAATTAGTGTAAATCAAATAAAATGCAGTAATTTAATTAGTGAAGGTTGATACAATATTTATTACGATGTATTTGATTTTTATTAAATATAATATTATGAATAACAATACCTACTGCACAATACTGGTACATTGTGCGTCAATGTGTACCTAAACTGAGTAACGCGATTAAATCAACCACACAAACAACACAGGGAAAAGTTATTTAAAGGCCGAGTTATATAGTTAAGAATTTGGAATTAGCGTTATGAAACGGATTGACTTTTTATAAAATTAGTCGGTAACAACTATTATCTTATCTGTGGTAAGTTGATCAAGCCACAACCCCATATATAGCTGATGTGAGAGTGATGAGAGGTGTTTATATATATATTAATTTCTACTCTAATAGTAGTAGTAGTACAGTATATAATATTATGTTATCTGTGCCTAAAGGAAAACGATTCTTATAGTATATTTTCATAGATATTGCATCTAGAGTTGTGTAATTGCAAACGTAAAAGTTTTCTCTTCTATTTTACATTATAAAAAAGGAAAAAAATATATTATATAGTAAGAAGACAAGTATTAAGATAAAAAATACTTACGAAAACTACACCTTCTGTCTCCACAACGGATTGTTATACGAAGTAGTGGGCGACTTGTATGTGGGGTTCTCTTCCACTCTGGTTTTGGGCCCGTCCAGCTCTTGGTACTGGGCGCTGGTAGGTGGCATCGGTGCTGCCCGATTTCTCATAATCATATATGCCGCGCCCGCTGCCGCACAAACCAGCGCCACACCGACCAACACGAGAGGCAGTGTTACTGGGGAATTAAAGGAAAATTGTAACTTCCATGTCCATATTTATTGTCTCGTCATCATTTATCATTTCAGCCCGGAAGACGTTCACTGATAAACAAATCCAACGCCTTCCAGCGATCTTGACCAGGTCGTCGATCCACGGAGAATAATATTATGATAATAGGGTGAAAAGATAGAAATATAATACGCTGGGACAATTGACACAGCGCCATCCAGTCCCAACAGATATAGCGGGGCTATCAGTATGATTTGGCGGGCTTATAGTATGCAGTAATTGCATACTTTGGCTTGGATTTGATGAGTTATCAGATTAATGAGTATTTTATAATCCAAGTACAGGTATAATAATAATAACCCTGTACACTGGGCCTTCTAGCCCAGGCTAAGCAACGCTTGTGTTAAGGTTACTAGACTACTGATTAAATATATAGGTATATTTTTTTGTAAATACATACATAATATATAATAAGCATCTAGATCAACAAAAACAACCATACTCCAGAATACAAATCTTAGTACAGTGCGAGGAATCGAACCGCTAGACACTATTTGTAAAATAATACTCACTATATTTATCTGACAACTGACAAAAATTGAAATAAAATTTATTCAGATTTTAAATTCACTATAAATAGCTAAATTTTTTAAATTTTATTAAAATTATTGAAAAACTATGTTTATATTATGTATCACAACATCATAATTATAGTTTCAAATAAGCGTACCACAGTGTGGCATGTGCATTGGGTAAATTACTGCTAATGAGACTTTAAACCAGATCCAAAACTATTCAACAAATATCGATAAAAATCCATCCTCATTTAATAGAAATATAAATAATCTTTATTCAATTAAACTCAATACAAGCACTTTTAAATAGTCATATATATTTATACTTCAAAAAGTGTCAGTGAGTTTCATACAGCAATTTAAGACTTCTGGTATGGGAATGAGTCTGAGGTTAATATTCCTTCATTATAAAATAATCGCGTTCTTGGTAAGACCACTTACTAACCATGCAATTATTCTATAATTGCACATGATCATCATGTGCTTCTTCTTTATCCCATTTATTTGGTGTCGGCGTAATATGTTTTTCTTCCATTCATCCCTGTTCACAGTGATTTCGTTATTTACTCCCTTTCTTACCATATTATCATTCACACATCAATTACATATAACATTAAAGAATATCAAACAGATTATTACCACAATTTAAACATATATTTTACATAATGAGTAACAGATGTAATTAAATTTTTATATAATTTGTTTGTTTCCGTTCATATGTAAATATTTATAATAATGAAATCAAGAATTGTTTGAATGTGTTATATGGGAAATTACAGTTAGTTCGTCATACTTTTACAAAGTGATTTACATTATTCGACGTCATCTCACACGACAAATAAATAATTATGAAATCATAAAATTAATGTTCGTTGGTTTAAACAAAGGATGTTCTATGTACACAGATATGTGGAGAAATGTTATCAAATAAGTATACCTACATATGACTACGTCTCCACGAGTGATTATATTTAAGTCGTAAAATATAGTTAAATTTTTTTAAAGACTTGTAAATACAAGTATTTAGAATTCGATTGAGTTGAAATTTTACATGAGATAAGAATGCGAACTTCTTATAATAATGGCTATTTACGTGCTGGAAATTAATCTTAGATTAATACTTCATCGAGTTTCGCTACATTAGTTTTATTTCAAAGATTACGTAGTCAAACAACGCTGCTAGTGTCTAACGTACTAGAACTATGTCAATGTAATAAAATTAATTTGAAATGTATTATTACTTGTGTATTAGTGCTGTGGATATTTCTATAAAAAAATATAAATTTGATCTTGGTGGTCATCATTATCAAGGTTAGAATGAATTTAATCCTTTAAATAAAATAATTTTAAACGACTATAATAAAATGAATAATAAATTTACATGTTCACTTGCTTTTGCAATACGTGGACATGTGGAAAGATCCATAATTATTTATTCAATATGATAAGAAATAAACAAAAGTTAACGAGTAGTGGCAGCTGGCCACTGCATATTTATGTACTAACGTGTCAACACGCGTATATCGAATACAACTGTGTAAACTTGACTTGGTGCATTGGGAAGGAATTTCGTAGTGACACATATAGCACTTACACTATGTAATTAGTATATATTATTATAGTAATAAATGTAATGTACTTTCACGACTGTTTTCGCAGATGGGGTAGTCAGCTGAATTGTCGACTGTAGACAAGACGGTGAATGAAACAGTAACATCTCGATGAGTATGTTTTAATCAAAACACTAGGCGAGTCTACTCATCTGGTATGAACTACATTATTTGTATTCATTGCATGTTTTGGCGACCTTAATGGTCTAGCGATATTCTATCAGTTGTCGCAGGTTCGGTTCCTCGTACGATTGAAACATTTGTATACATGAGTTTTGCATTGGTCTGTGTGTTGTTTGAATGGTGTTTTTGTGAATATTATATATGGACCTATATAAAAAATATCATTTTTTTATCAGTTGTTTAGTGCCCACTTATAGTACAATCTGCTTATTGTGAATTGTCCTGCTTTTTTTTTAAAGATACATCGAGGCCGACGTAGTTATCTCTAACTACCTGACGACTACCTCATTGGGATTAACGTTACAAGGATATGTATTACAGATGTGTGCTTACCATTAACACCTTGAGTGACACCAGCGGCGATTGGTTTACATGAATCTATCACCATCAGTATAATGTCGTTCTTATCCTTACTGGCTACGTAATGGTAATTGCAGTCATCAACTATGTCGTTACATTTCACCCATACATTCCTTCCGTATTCATCAGTTTCCGCCATCAAGGATTCGTTATAAGTCTTCATGACTATGGAGTGACAGTCGGGACACCGGCCAGCGGGCTTGTCGAAGCAGCTATCACATTCGTAAGCGTTCAGGCACAGGTCGGCGCAAAAGTTACTTTGATCGAAGTATTGAGAACCTTCTTTGTCTGTATCACACACGCAGCCACAAGCGTCGCACCTTCCGTTGCCTGAACAATCCTGAGAAATATACAGCAATTAGCCAGGGATTATTATCTATTATCCAGGGATGCAAACCACAAATATAAAAGTCAAAATATCCTCATGGTTTTTTAATTTTTTTGGGTTGTTTGGGCTATTGTCAGTTGTTAGGACCTGTAGCACTGCGCTCTATTATGCTCGACCTTTGCCAAAGTTCGAGACCCATAAGGGACAAGAATTGAAGGATATTCTTAGAGCGAATGTTCTCATACTAAAGATCAAATATCTTGTATTTGAAAGAGGTACCGGTCGCCTCTTATAACTACGAGACATTTGGCCTTTGGTACGACAAAATTTAAAAACTCATACAAGTTAATCGTAATTTTGTATTACCTACGAAAATCGGTAAAAATGTTATGACATACAAGGTCAGGGAGTCAAATTGAACTTCGTATATGATTTTATAAACTTATTGATTTCGTATAAAGCTAAGTATTTTTGGCAACCCTCCTATTCTTTGTGACTTCGTCTACATAAACTTTTATTCCCTATTGCAACCGGTTCCAATTTTTTTTTAATAAAAGGTAGTATAGACGTACACATTAGTACAGAAAGGTAACAAATAGTCAGCTACACTTTCAAATTTATATTAAGTGATAAGTAAATTATTTATTTATTTAAATTTTAATGTGCATATCCTACTACTAATTATAATAATATTTAATATCTATTTCCATTTCGCATTTAAATACATTTTAGATGAACATGTAGTATTTTATTTGATATACTTTTTAAGACAAACTGTAAAATATTTTTGATGTTTGTTAAAAACTTGTGATATTCAAAGACTAGGTAATTCTGCAAAAAACCGCTTCCAATCGTACAGAGTTATGTCTCTGTCAAGAAAGAGAAAAGGTGAGGTATAACAGGCACGAGAAATATAAAGAATATATTTTGTGACGTCTGTGATGCATTTAGTAGGCGATTGTTACCAAGTCTTACTAATATTATAAATACGAAAGTAACTCTGTATACTCTGGCTGTCACGCTTCCATGCCAAAAAATAAATGAAACTTGGTATACATATAGTCTAGACCCTGAGAAAGGACACAGGCTACTTGTTAATGCGAAAAAAGAGTAGTAAGGGGTTGAAAAAGATGAAATGTTATATGGAAGTATCGTTTTTTTTAAAGCCAGAAGAAAACTTATTTTTTACTATTAATTAAAGTTTGTAATATTTAGTATTACAAACTTTAAATGTTATATTTATTTATATATTAAATCGATATAAATAAATATAGAAGAGAAGCTAGAACGATGAAATATTTTTCTTTGACTATTTTGCTTATATTATTAAATATTTTTTCTCTATTATTTACACGTACACGTATTATTTGTAAAATAGTTTAAAGTTATAAAAAATGTTATCTATGACAGCATTTTTTATAATATTTAATTACGCGGACGAAGTTGCGGACACAAATAGTCATTTATAATTTTGACACTAACCTCTGTCCTCAACGGATGCTTGCAGGCGATATCACCGCGGGCTTTGCATTCGGGTTTGTCGCAGTAATCACCGCTCCTGTAAATAATATTAGTTTTGAATACTCTAAATCAATGTGAATAATTCCATCAAATTATGGGAATTATTAATATCGTTATTATATTAATTTTAACACGAATAATTTTATGGTAAAGGTCTTAAAATATCGCGTTTAATCATCAAGCTTTTAACAAACATCATAAATATTTGTTGTTTAAACTCGTTTATCTATATTAATAATGTGTACTCTAAACGCAAAAGTTTAAAAATAAGTAAAGTATGGGAGTTATGAGTTTATTTAAATTATTCGGTATATTCAGGGTTCGTTGGAAAGAGTACGTTAAAGTTACGTAAAGTTATGTCGTGGGTACGTTATTAGTGAGTACTGCCCAATAACTAATTAATTCTGCGTGATATTACTTCAGATTGTTATTCATACAAAAATAGACAACCAAGAATCGGCAACCCAGTCTTTAGTATTCAATCAAATACAGCCGACGCCCTGGATTATTGGAACGATAAGTAGGGCTCATAATAAAAAAACCACGCTTCCGATTTCATTCACAAAAACATATTACATATTTTCCTATAATGATAATGACAGCTTTGCTGATGTTAGGGCTGAGCCTTTTGTCAGTATTGTATTTTTGATATCAGAACTTTAAACCTAATTTTCTAGAAGAAAGTAATTATCTAGTAATATCCTTGCAGCTTAGTATATCCTTTCCGACTAATCCTTTATATTGGGAGAAATACGTTATGTGTATGTAAATGCATTATGTTGTAAATAATATTTATTACCCAAATTAACATATTTATGCGACTGCAGACCATAATAGTAAAGTTGTTTTAATTTACAGAAACACTAGGTGTAAACCACGGATTCACCAATGGAAATCAGGCCTATATTAATTAGGGCTAAAGATGTTCAACAACAAGTACAGGCAACTGAGTTCATATATTTGTGCAGTTAGTTGTATATAATTAATTTATAAACGCCAATAATATCATTATTGGCATTTATATTTCAACCGACATTTTTTTATTACGTTCAATTTCCGCAATACTAAGTTAATTTTGCATCGAATGCGAGTGATATTCCGAAGTGTCTTAAATTTTATTCATATTCAAATAATCATATTGAATATAACCTACCTAACACGGATGTCACGTTTGGTAGCAATTAAATACTCATCCGGTACGGACTACACGATTTTGGGCAACTATACTATACTTTGTACTCATGACATGTTTTAAAATAGAGCTATTGTGGTCGTGTTGACGTTGTAAAACCATTTTAATGACAATATTAATCATGCAATGAATATGTAGCCAAACTAATGAAGCATCGCGTTTATATTATAGTTGACAAGTGACGCTCGTATGTAAGAGCACTTAGATTAATCACAACAATAAAACACTCTCTATTGTCTCTATATTAATTTGGAGCTGGTAAAATCATAATAAAATAATATGTAACTTTTCAACTGTTATCCCAGCTGTGGTAGTGATATGTCCACATTTCGCTGGGTATATTTTAATCTAACATGTTAGGATAGGGCCTATATACAATTTTTATTTCTAGGTTTTTATTAATATAAGTGGATAGATGTAGTATATAAGTGATATTATAAAAAGTAAATAAAAAAGAATTAGCTAGATAAGCAGAGCTATAGAAACAACTTTAATGTAATTGTTATCTATATTCGTTTCCAAAAATATAATCTATTGATTGGAAAATTAATTTATGGCTAGGTTCAGGGCATTTTGAAGTAAGTTAAAAATTTTAAATTAATATTATCCAAATTTTAATATTTTTGTTTTATTCTTCAATAGTCCGTGTACTACAATTTTCATCACCGTGTATTACACTTCATGTCATTTCTGTTTTTCATACGACCAAATATTCAATATGTTCAATAAAGACTGCTCAAACAGGTAATCGTTTGTCAATCGTTTACAAATGAACAACTTTCAAAATTTAGTGTCAGTGAATGTTATTTGAAAACGTCACAGGTTTGCTTTCTCTCAAAATAGATTAATTACACTGTCGTCTCCGGACAGTGTAATGTAAAACGTTTTAAAGAATACGAAAGTAGGTCTCATTCTCTATAATTAACTTTGCAGAGAGCTAAGAACAGAGAGGTTATTGTGGGTGTGAATTTAAGCGATCTTCTGATGACCATAATTCAATTATATCTTCGTTATTTCTTAATCATTACTTATAGAGTTTTTATTGCGTAACGATAAGGTAACTTATATTAATTTTACCGATCTGTAAGTTAACACGTGATTGTTGTATTAAACATGTTAATATATTAAAAACATAAATAAATATAGGTACTATATTTTTTTATCATTAATAAAACTTAATTCTATGTAGTGAAAGGATCTATATATTATTCATCAGAATTTTATAGATATTATTACTTATTAATAGTTGTACGAAAGATGTGTTCAATGCTGTGTGGTACTTTTTATTTACCAGCGTTGATTGCTTACAGTCGTATATAGCAGTTTATATTATGCAACAGTGATTTCTTTTATGATGGAGCTAAATGGACAAATAAACTGATGATCCTCCTGATAGTAAGTAGGCTATCTTCGCTAATATACATGAACAGCACTATGGACATCATGTGACACACGTGACAACATTAAGTTCTGGAGAAATAAAGTGTCATGCCTCCTTACTCCATAATTTCACTGCGATGAAATGTTTTTTTTATCAATGATAATGGAATAATGCACCCGCTAACGGTTTACGCTAGCGGGCACTAGTGGAATGTGATAAGATGAGCATGGGGTCAAGTCAGTTAGCACATTGCGACAAATTCACCAAGAATTTATCACGATGATTTCCAGGGGGAATCGCGTAGGGGTCAACCTGATATGGTACACTGCTGGCAATAAGAACATCAGTCCACAAATAAAAATGATACCAGTGGTGCACATAATGTTTACAGACATCAGTTGGGCTTACAGTTAGTGTCCTACTTCAGTCATATAAAAAATCTAGATAGGTACTTACCATCCATCATGACATTGGCAAATGCCGCACGAATAATCTCCATTTCCGTTACAAATTTCTGAGTTCGTCTCTGTTGTCTTACTGCATTCGCAAGCACATGGCACATAGTACTTCATGTAGGCATCTTTTTCCACGGTATCTACGTGAATCTTTGCTACGAAAAACTCATCAGTGGTTGAATTGCTAGAACAAAAGTCCGTCTCTGCCGTAAACTTTAGCGTTATGGAGTATTCATTGACACCACTTTTCTGAATATTTTTTTGTATTGTAACGTTGTTTTGCGTGGAATTAATGTCTACGTTCACCTGTGGATTTAAGACGATTTTAATGATATACCACATTTAAAAAATCATTTGTGTTACGACGTAAGATGTGATTATAATCTGTTGCTTTACGTCATAATAATATAGAGAAGCTTGCTTGTTCTAAAGTTAGAGTACAAGATTTTTTAAGGAGCAGAATTTCTCCTTATGTTTTCCGATTTCCAGCATGTCTATATTCATACTCGTATTATCAAAAGCGTTTCGTAGAAACAAATTTGTTGATGTGTATTGTGTGTGACGCATACTTTATGTAAGTATTCAAATTGTATAATTTATGTATAGATATAATTATAAAGAAAACGACAATTACTGGTATATTTGTATGTAATTAATTAATAATAGAAAATCCATTGATATACGCTCAATCCTAAGGCATACGATACAAGAGACCTCATTGTTCTTGTACAACAAGATTATATTGTTTTTAGATGAGTATGTAAGTTAGTTATATTGATTGTAGCTTGTATGTATTGTATATAGATTGTATTTTCAAAATCTATAGGTTTACGTTGAAACCGGTTAGGTGATGTTGTATAATTAAAAATATATAAATAAAGGTTAATGTATTAGTAAATTAAATAATTAAAGAAATTTAAAAAATCTGTAGAATTAACACAGCGCCATCTAGTCCAAGGGTAAGCAGAGCTTGTGTTATGAGTACTAGACAACTGATATAAATACTTTGATATTTTATATATACATACATAACCTACATGGAAACATATAAAACACTCAGATCCATACAAAAAACCTTACTCATGCATACAAATATTTGAACCGTGCGAGGAATCGAACTCGCGACCGTCGGAATAAATTGGTGTGCTAAACCGCTAGACTACTGAGGGTATCATATTATTAGTAGATTAGAATTGGCATCTCTATTTCTCTCACCCCTATTGGAAGTTGACACTATATGCAGAGAGCATGTAGTGTCAACTTCGTACTTTGTTCAATACATCGTATAAATTTATCAGTCCAACACTTCTAACCAACTCCCTTTTATGGAATACAAGTAATTGGTACTTATAGACTTGTTAACCTTCTTAGTGAAATAATTGTGCTAGAAACAAATTAATAGTAAAACAGGGAAGGGGGATTCTTTCTTATGGGGATTAGTAGTTACTTGCGAGTATGGTAATGGAGCTCCATTACCATACTCGCAGGAGGACGCTAGATGGGTTTATCATCTTTATGATTTATATTAATTAATAATATCAACCATAAATAAAAAATGTAATATAAATCATAATGCAACTTTATGTAACTGTATGTTTATATAATGCAACAGTGGCATCTTAATATATTCATGAGTGTGACTGTTTGTAATGGTCTGGGTGTTTTCTGTGTATGTTAACTTGGACCAACTGGGTCTTTGTGAATTGTAACAGGATTACCAGATTATATACAATAGGTACTTACGTTTAACTCGGATGTCGAGTTATATACAAATTTCTCAGAATTGCGGGCGTTAATGTTTGTTGAGGCCTCTTTATATATAGGATTGATGCCCGTCCCCTCGACCGTGCGTGGTAACCGACCATTGGATGATGGTGTTTCTTTATAACCGGGGCACCAGTCGTCGGCAGGAGATTTTAAGCATTGGTAGTCCTGAAAATATTTTTCTTTATTAAATATAAATAGCCTTGGACAAGGCTAGATGTAAATGTATTTTCGAACGAATATATCCGAAATGTTTGAAATGTGTGAGGAATCGAACCCGCGACCATAGGAAGTAAAGTGGTGTGCTAAACCGCTAGACAAATAAGGCGGCATATTTTTAAGTTTTTCGTCAATATACAACCATTAGAAATATATCAGATTGTCCACTCCAGAACTAAATTAGATGTATTATAATTTACTAACATAGTTTATATATTGTTTACTAACACAATATGGAAGTAATCCGAATTAAATAAATAAAATAATACTAGTTCAAATTTCGTTTTTTAAATTAAGGCACAAAGTAGCTTATACGATCTTGGTTTTAATTTACGGGTGATCCCTAATAATAAATATGTAATTATAAAATACATTCATCATATTGGATGTATTACGTTGGATGAAGTATACGTATAGGTAGTGTTTACGCAATTGTCAATAATTTTGTACGACGGACACTTCAATTTAAAATAATTTCATGTAATTATAAAGCTGGCGCCACAAAGAGTCTGCATATTACAAGTCACACTTGGTAACTTGCTTACGGACATGGAACCAAACAGCAATACAAACATTCATATTTATTTAACATTGCCATATACCATTAGTATTATTCCTTTATCTACCTAGGTATGTCCATATAATAAGATTTATATGCGTAAATGGTTCTCATTAAACCGCATTAGATCAGAGTGATTAATATGATGAAGTGTGAAGGACGTAGAACTGTGGAATTATTATATATAATGTTATATAATTTATATTAATCTTTTCTGTGTTATATTATTAATAGAATAGTCATATTAATATTATAAAATCGAAAGTGTGTCGGGTCGTCTGTTTGTTAGCTTTTCACGACTAATTGTTCATGAGATTTGGCTCGAAGACTGATACACGACGACGAAAGTAAACTAATTATATCTCAAAAAAGAATAGACGAAGTCGCGGTATATGCTGCTATATTTTTCATATAAAATACTATTGATGCTTGTATGAAAGTCAACATGTATATCATAAGTAACATATATGTGTAAGATAAATACAAATGGTATAACGAATGAAGACAAAGATCTTGTCTGTAAACTATTAATACTTTTATAAAAGTAGGAAGTTTTATTTTCATAGAATACATATGACATTGAAGTGGAGTTAAAATAGCCCGATTACTCACAGGAATTAGAATTTTTCGGGAATTCCCGATTTCAATAATGTCCCGAATCTCGAAAATATGCGGTGTACACATTAATATACGACATTAATTCTGTTTTATATCCAATAAAAGGAATCGGAGAAGTTTTTGATTTGAAACCAGACTTGCAAATGTTATTCAACATTAATTAAAAAAACGTAAATTATTGAATTACTCTTATTTATTACAGTATGCTATTTTAAGTAAATTACAAATTAAGCATAAAAGGAAAAACTTTCAAATAATTATTTTATATTCTAAGACATGGTTGTCCAAACGATAATAATAAGACTTGCATTTGAAATAAGAGTTCTAACAATAATTTATTCTAAGAAGCAATACACCTAAACACAGTCATATTGACCGCATGAATAATAGGAAAAGTCAGAATTAAAATTATAATAAGATAGTGGACATGGGTGTTTGCTGGAGAGCATGATGCAACCACGTCGTTTCTGAGCGAAATTGGGTTTACAAGAAACTTGAACTCAAAGATTCATAGTTCTCGACATTAGATACTATATATGTGTATATAATGTTCTTCTCCAATCCTGAATTTCACGACAATGTAATAGTCATAAGATTTTTATTTAATATAGAGAATACCGATAACTTATATGAAGAATATTACAATTCGTTAGTGTATACAAAAAGATAACTTTGAATATATACTTAAAAATATTAGGTTTCTAATAAATTTTAAAGACGTAGCTGTACCTATAGTGTACTACATTTATAAATTAATATTAAGAGTATCTTGGTTCATAGCCAAAAGCTTCGTGGGTATCATTAAGCGCAATTTCTATTTAATCTGAGATTGCATACTAACACTTAACAGGCCAATAAACCCGTAAGTACTTAGCGCGTAAGAAACAGAGTATGTGGGAGTCACTGTAATAGCTATGATGACGATTATATTCCCTTTTACCGCCCTTTTGAGTCAGAATATGGCCCTCTCTTTCATACGTTGCAATTAGGATAAAGATAGATATAGATATCGAAAGGTAGGATCTACAATTACTGTTATAATGAGTAGGTACCAAAAGTGTGGGTGGCATGAACTATCTAGAGAAACGCAGTCTCGCTGTCGCAACATCATCCAGTCCAGTTACGTGGTGGTGGTGTAGTATCAGAGTAGTATTATTGCCTGTTTGGATATAAATGTACGCGTAAATAAGTAAACAAATGGATTTTAAATCTATGCAAACGTTTATGTGAATGGTACGATAAACATGTAAAGATGGACGGACAAAATTATAGAATATGTATTTGTTAAAAATGCTTGAATAGATTCAATAATTATCATGTGTTGGTATTTACCTTTTTTTACTTTTTATTATTAAAATAATTTCAGTATATAAACTGTAAAAAATGAAGCCTAATACTACTTCATATCAGACCTTAAAATTGTTTTTATGCATTCGAATGTGTATCTGAATTCAATCATTTTACTAAATTTTCTTAATACAAAATAATAAAACTATTTTTAAACATATTGTTATCTCGATGTAATCAGATCACACCCGCATAACGTTCGCTTGTTGGTAAACTTTTTGACTCAATGCACGTGGGGCGTTAATACATTGTTAATATATTAACTATCCTATTTTGTATAAGATTATTAGAATTGTTTTGTTTTTATTTTCTATTGATTTATTAGTTTTCTTTATAGTTTTAAACGGAAATTAATATAATTGCTGATAAAAAAGTTGGTATCGTAAATATATTCTGAGATTGTTTAGCATAAGATGTATTGCGAAATTTATTTTCATTAAAGAATTTTTTATCGCGAATTATATTACAAAAGTAGCTTATATTGCACAAAACAGGGGTCGATGACCACCGTGGCGATATTATTTTTTTCAAAAGGCTGAATATAAACTTATTTAAAATTCTGTATTTATTTTATTTATAATGTTTAGTAAAAATACCTCAATACATCTGTTGTTGTGCGAATTCTATTGCTCCCTGAGACAAAGGTCGTTCAACTGCTATAAAAATACTAGGAATTGTCTCAGACGACGCACAAATTGGAATAAGTTGGAAAAATCGATGGACTCTGCTGGCGCTATTCCAAAATGAACTCTTTCGTTTAATTTATTGTTTATCTAGACATGTCTAAATTATGATATAGCTCACGAACGTAATACCAGATGGGTTAGTCAGAGGCATTGTTAACTGCCGCTGATGTAGTTACTTGCATACATTTCGTCGAGCATGTTTGAATGTAAATTGGCGCGTGCTTATTCCTGGCAAAAACAAATTAATCCAACAGTCGACAGTAGGCTTACTACCTATTCCTGTGTGTACATCTATTTTTCGTAGTTTAAGCATCTATTAAATTCTTATTTCTTATTAGATTATCTATTATGGTAACTCCATAATAGCTGTCACAAGATGGTCAAAAAGAGTTCGATTGGTAGGTTTTTTTTCGGACTACTCTAATGCTGTTGTTCGCAGCTGGCCTTTACAGCTTCACTGGACGATAGGGGGCGAGTGCAGATGGCACTCCAAATCCGCGGAAGGACTTGCAGAGCGGCTGAAGGCCAACTCCCGCCTAATGGATACGACTTTAGTCTGAGGGCACCGCTGGTGTTCGATCCTGTGCTCAGGCCGTCGTAATATCGCTCCCCGTTTGCATCCATTGCAATTGCACGGGGGATCGATCGGAGGGATTCGTTTAGTAGGGGCTCAAAGATAAATCCTTTTATAGCTGTTGAGACAGCTACTTTCTGATTTAGCAAACCAATTTATCAGTTATTAGGCAGCTATTTATTATAACGTGTTCCTTCACACTTGTGGCAGCAGCATCATCATTATATAGTACCTATAAAATAAAGTCGCTGTCGCTGTCTGTCCCTATGTATGCTTAAATCTTAAAAACTATCAATCGATTTTGAAACGGTTTTTTTAATAGATAGAGTGATTAAAGAGGAAGGTTTATATATATAATACATGTACACTCGTGCGAAGCCGGGGCGAGTAGCTAGTTAAATATATTTACCATCGTTAAACTATAGATATCTTTTTCTTCTTTTTAAAATGTAGTATATTAGTTATTAGTAGTTTACCTCTACAGAGTAGATATTACTATGTCCCTAATATTCCTTGTAATACATATAATCGGGTCGTAACTCAAAACAACATTGTAAACAAATTATTTACCGCTATTGACGTTTAGACTAGGTAGCTGTGGTCACGAGTGACAGTAAAGTTTGTGCTTTAAAAATAATCCTTATCTCTTGTATTACTATACAAGTACAAATTTAATCAATACACCAGAAATATATGTAATTAAATGATGTAACGATATGTACTGAATCTATTATTAGCATTTTGCAGTTTGTGTGTACCCACTATTTTATTCTCGCTGGCTCTCATCAACTTACACTCGTGTAATAAGATAGGTGCCGTTGATTGCGAGATTGAATCAACTTACCGAGCGGGTCGGAGTGAAATAACGCGCCCTTTGTAATACACAATTTTTAAAAGGTAAAGCTTGCGCAAGCCGTGTTAATTTTAGTGAGATGTTTTATGCATATTGTAAAATATGTTAAAAGGTAAATGGAGCGGTTGAACTTAATTGCGTTGATTGATTTTCTTTTCGAATTTACCCTTTATAGTACTCGTGTACAATTTAGGTATTAAGCGATGCTATCTTATCTAAAGTAATTAGCAAGTATGGTAGGTATCTTTAATTGGTACTGCGTAATTTACGGCATTGGGTATAAACATTCTGGTTTATGAAAAATGATTAATA